TTCTTTACATCTAACAGAAATCTCTTCCCTGGCTCTCCTTGATGGCTCCCCCTTCTCTCTCCACCTCCGGAGATGTCTGAACAGTATAATTTCCTTTTATTTTTAGCCACATTTCATAATTGAAAGTATCTCTGTGTCAAAGAGAAAACGTTCCCATGAATTCCTCAACAGGCACTTACTGAAAGCAATTGATAAAACTGAAATATTTAATGGGGTTTTATACCTGTGGACTTGGCGACACGCATCTCAAAAGCAGAATTTTAATGGTATCAAGATGGATGGGCATAGGGCCATCATCTCCCCAGTTTCGCTGGTGCTTCTCTTTTGGGATCAGTATTGGATCCATGTGTTGGAGCTTTGGGAAGTGGTGGCTTCGCTGACCCCAGAGTGTCCTGCTTTTCCAGCTGAATTCCTACTGGATACTGCCACTCGGGGCAAAGCCGATGGTTCTCACTTGTCAGTAGTACTTAGGGTGGGTGCAGTGCTCTCCAGAGATTCAGCCATGTTCACAGGCAGCTATTCATCTCATCTAAGGTAAGAACTACTTGGAATCATATCCATGGTCCAGCTAGCCCCATTCCTTCTGTTGCAAAGTGGCCAGAGTGGATGCCTCTGGAAGATGATGAAATGGGAGCTCCTTTGCATGGTCTCCTGCATATGTGCTGCTCACCTGCCTGAGTTTGCCTTCGGGATCTTCCCAAGACATTGCTTTTGTCTTTGCATTCAGTAGTGTTTGAAGGATTTTTCTTCCCTGGATTAGCTCACCTCTTCCTAGGCCATTTCTGTGCTCCGGTTTCAGTGCTCAGGGAGACAGGTACTGCTCATCCTCGGCAGCTCAGCTGGATTTTGCCTTGGCCTAAAGAGCTGTAACCAGAGCATTTCAAAGAAAGCAGAGGAGAAGAAACAGCCCCCAACAGCACACAGTGAGGCAGTTCATTCAATTGAATGTGGCTACTAAAACCTGCCTCCAGGATTCAAGGTTTTAATTGCATCCACTTTGCAAATCAAGCTCTTCTAATCAAGCTCTTTTGTTGTGACTCACCCCTAGCCCAGACTGCTGTGGAGGTGGAGAGGACTCACCTCTGTTCCCCTCTGCCCTTTCTCCCTCCCTCACCAGCTAATAACATCTCCTTCATATGTGGCCCCTTCTAGACTGCCTCCCCTTGCCCCCCAAGTGTCACTGCTCTGTTTCCAGCCACTTCCCAGCATGAGCAGTGGCTTGGTGGAGCAGGGTGTGGGGAACACTGTTGTGTCCAGAATTAAGGAGGCAGGACCCCTCCTTCTCACTGCTGCCCCAGGTGTGGGTGTCAGCCTAAGGCGGATCTCACTTGCTGCCTATGTCCGTCCCTCATGGTTTTCTGTTGCAAAAGCTGTGGAAGAGATTTTTCAGGGTACCATGTCCATCATAACACGGCTGGAATTTATGAATCATAACTAAGCACATTGCAAGGTACAGAGAGGATTATATGATGTGTGATCTAACAACTCCTGACCGGTTAATCACGTGGGATGGGTTCTGAGCACGCTGCATGGCAGGTAACTGACCTTTAAAAGTGAAACCACAAAGGGTGTTATTTCATAGGTGTTTCCTCACTCTGCTTACCTAGAGCATCATTGGAAGTAACGGTACCTCCTGGCCTGGAGGCAGCCAGCACTAGTGTTGTCCCACAAGTGCTGTCACATCTCAGAGGAGTCTGGGATTTCTGCAGTGATTTCAACAGCAAGGGAAGGAACTGAAGCTGTATTTTGCATGAGCCTGTTGTTGCACAGGGGTCTGTAGATGCCCAGAAGCCCACATGGTCTCCAAAGGAAGCTGAAAGGGTTCTGCTACAGAGAAGATGTTACTGGGGACCCGTAACTGTAATCTAGCCCTCCAGCTTACCTGCGTGTGAGTTGTGTAGGTTCAGAGCTAGCAAACTCATGCCGGCTGCGCATTGTTCATTCACTCCTGTCCATCAACCCCAAAGAAACACTTTCCCTTATAAAGAGCTGCCTCCATAAGGAAGATATGAATAATGGAGATAATGAAGATGTCTCTTGCCTGGCAGGGACAGTCCCTTCCTGCTGACACCCCACCACTGCAAGCAGCTGAAGTGTGCATCACCAGCACAATGTCCTCAGCAACCTCTTAGTCTAAGCTTAACTTAACCAGTACAAATACACCTGCCACGGGAACGCAATTACATCTAATTGCTGAGATGGATATGAAATAATTGCCCAGATGACATTCACCTTCCCCAGGCATCTGTGAACAAGCAGGGGGGGTTCTGGGTAACCCCGTGCTCTGCCCAGGCGCTGATGGTGACTTTCTCAGACAGCCAAAGCTCGATTCTTGCTCTTGAACATCTTCCCAGCTGCCCTTGAGTGGTTTCAACTGAAAAACAAAGCGGTGACATTTCTTGCATCATTCATGTCATTAATCACAGAATCATAGAACAGTCAGGGTTGGAAAGGACCTTAAGATCATCCAGTTCCAGCCCCCCTGCCATGGGCAGGGACACCTCACACTAAACCATCTCACCCAAGGCTTCGTCCAAACTGGCGTTGAACACTGCCAGGGATGGAGCACTCACAACCTCCCTGGGCAACCCATTCCAGTGCCTCACCACCCTCACAGGAAAGAATTTCCTCCTTAGATCCAATCTAAACCTCCCCTAAGTTTGAACCCGTTACCCCTTGTCCTATCACTACAGTCCCTAATGAAGAGTCCCTCCCCAGCATCCCTATAGGCCTCCTTCAGATACTGGAAGGCTGCTATGAGGTCTCCACGCAGCCTTCTCTTCTCTTTCAAACATTGCCTCCCACCGTGTCTCTCTTCAGCCTCCACTGCTGCTTGCTGCGGGTTCAGAAGTCTCTGGTAGATCAGTCTGCCCTGAAAAAAACCACGGGTATGCCAAAATAGAGGCAGTTTTGCAGAAGGCAGTGATTTGGCTGCAGGTGTTGCCAGTGCGTGTCTCTCTGGGGCTTGCAGTTTGTTTCAGCATTTTGTGGTTTGGTTTACTTTTGGATTTAATTTTCTGTAGGAGATACCAACAAAACAACAGGTTAATGTTTGCAAATAATGGTTGGGGCAGGGGGGAAGACATTGGTTTTTTTCAAATCTATTTTGAAATGCCAGGATTTCCTATGGAGCAGTAGCCCCATTTTGCTGTCAGCTCACAGCATCGCCTCTAGTTATACATAACTTAATGCCACTGTGAAAGGACCTGAACGTCTTTCCTATTAATATTCTTTCAGGATGGTGAATTATTTAAAATGCTTTCAATGGCTTTAGTCTGCCCCAAGTCACAATCTCATATTTCATTATCTCAGTCTCATAATCGATTATTTCTTTTCTGGGATCTCCTGTCAAGGACAAAAGGTGCACTTGGTACCTTCCTGGGTGGTGATGGAGATCAGGGCACAGGGGCTCTTGTATGATGCACTTATTCAGCCAGAGCTAGGGGTGATCGTGACCTGCACAACCCGGGGCAAGCTGGAGAAGAGCAAACCCAGCAGCTGAGCAGAGAAATTGCAGAAGCAGGGTGGAGTAGACACTATGGTTGGTGGAGTGGGAACATAGAACAAAACAAGGAAAGTTCTTTGAAGGCAACGGGGAGCCTTTGTATTTGATATACCTCTGTAAATGCTGTTTTCTGGCACCTGGGAAAACTGCTCAGTAGTCATAGCAAGAAAAGAGAGTGAAGAATAATGTGTCCAGCAGAAATCCCTGCAGTTCTCAGCTCAACAGAGAGTAATTGCTGAAGACTGGAGTCTGCTCAGGGCACTGGAGCTAACACCTCTGCGCTCACCAGAAGTGGGACCTTGTGCGACCACAGGCAGTAAGCTTGGGATGTCATTAAAACAGCAACACCTGCCCAGGAGTTTCAGCGTGCTGCTAACTTGGAGGGAAGATGCCACTACTAAATCATCCGAACTACTTCCTGCAGCACCTGTTTTTTCCTCACGCCTCCTACCCAAATAGTGGCTAGACCCATCTAAAAATGCTCTCTCTGCTGAAATAGCTGGGCTGGGCATTGCTGGATCCACACCACACATCGCCTGCAGGAGGAGTAACATAGAGAAGGAGTAATGCCTGCCTGCATTATCACAACCCTCCCCGGAGGCAGGCTCTGCAGGTAGTTGTGGCTGACTGCAGGCTCCTGGAGATGTACTCAGCCAGTACATTGGTGGGGTTTGATAGAGAAAAGGTAGCATAGGTGTGCATATACAGGATGAATTTTAAGAGCTGCGTGGGACTGAGTAGCCTACACAGTGGCACCTCTTGGGCTCAGCATCCCAGCTACTGCAGCAACCCGAGAGGCACTAATTCCCCTTTCCTTCCTGCTTTTTCCATCCCTTATGCTTTTGGGTAGGACCTGGAAATGGCAGGAAAATAAGTGTCCTCAGAGCAAGCTAAGTTGGAGTGCGGTGCAGCTGCAGGGAGGGCTGTGAAGATCCGGGATGGAACCAGATGGGCTGTACTTCCAGTGGCAGCTTCTCAGAGGTGGGCTTCCAGGGACAGCGTGGCCAAGGCTGCCTGTGGACACCGCCTAAAGGAAAAGCCATGAACATTGCCTAGACCCCGCATTCACCTCCCCTCCCACCCTACACCACCCCTGCTGAGGTAAACACGTGGATGGAAGCAGCTTATTCCCTGTCAGCTCTTTCCTGCTTATCTGGAGCCAGGGGTGAGAGCAGAAGCTGCTGTTGCTGAGGGACCCTGCAAATCCTCGGATGAAGGCCCGGATGGAGCGCTGTTTCCCAGGAGGATCGGGGTGGATTGGGTAATTAATCACAGCTTGTCTGGGGGAGGTTGAGGAAGTCTGAATAAAGGTGTTAACGGCTCTTAAAGGCTTTCCCGGTTCGCAGAGGGTGCTGCCTCAAACAGATTATCTGGAAATATTATTAGCTGAAGGGAGAAAGGGTTTTTTCCTCTTCTGGGCTCTTTGTAGCCACCCTAAATCTGCTTGAGCCGTGGAGACAGGTTGTATTGTGTGGGGGGAGATGGGGGAGAGGCGGTGGCTGTCAGTGGGTCAGCAATTAATTGGTTTATTCCTTTCTCACGGTTATTTTCTACCCAACATCTGCTAAAACCCCCGTGCCCACTTTGTCCCAGCTCAGCCAGCAGTTGATGTGAACCGCAGGGATTTGCACTGGGGGGAACCTCAGACTAAGAGGTCAGCTTTACTGGGAGGTCCCTTGTCCCCTGCCAAGCCTCTTTTCCTGTTGTCTCATCTTAGGAGGAGGATGTGATTAGTGCTTTCTGCCATGGGATGTCAGCTGAGGGGTGAGAACTGTGTGCCAAGAGGAGGAAAGAGCTGCCACAGATGGGTGGTAAGTGAATACAGAGACATGCCCCCTTTACTCCAACAGAAACTTTCCTTTCGCATGCCTCCATGGCCCATTAGTTCAGACAAACGTTCCTGTTCAGCCCTGCGCTACCTTCTCTCCTGGCAGAAGTGGCCCTCAGCCATGTGTTTTTAGTGAGGGTGGGCTCTCCTCCATTTCCTGCTGCCATCTGGGAAACTGTGTATCATGAAGCCAGCTTTACTGGAAGACCATTCCTGTTTACCCATGGCTTTATCACAATTCTAGTGCCTTTGCAAGTCAGAAACAGTCAGTGCCATCACAGCAGAAACCTTGTGCCCTGCCAGCCGCAGCTCAGCCCAGTTTCTGCCCACCAGCTCCACTGCTATAAATGAGCTGAATTTGGTGGTGGGACTGTGCCAGGCAGCAGGGTCTTGCTGGGAGCATCACAGATGGCTCTCTCACAGTAATTGCTCTGATAGTGCATCTCGAGCTAGAAAATCACCTTTCAGACCAGAGCAGGAATAGAGAAAGAACATGGCTTCGCCCTGAAGAATTTTGATACTTGTAGTTTGACATCACTTGGCTTTGAGTGAAAACCAAACGTCTTTAGTCCTAGAAAGGTGATGGAGCAGGGTAGTCCCCACTCTGCAGCGCCTGCCTGGCCTCCCCAGAGCGTGCTGGGCAAGTGGGAAACCCCCTCTGTGGAGAAATTAATTTGAAATCACATTGTCCACAGGGAACATTCTTGCCGTGCTGCTGCTTGTCTCCCAGCTCTTCCTAGATCTTTAATTGGAATTAGGTGCTCTGAGTAGAGTCCCTCGGGCTGCTTTCTTCATGGTCTCATTGATTTCCAACAACTAAGTTAGCCACAAAGCATAATGAAAGCAGCAGATCTCCAGGTCTCTCTTTTCCTTTACAGAAGATTATCCCTATCAAGCATGAAGCACAGCAAGTCCAAACCAGATCCCCATTCTCCTTGGGGATCAACCTGCAGGGTCGATGAGAGAAACAGAGTGAGTCCTCGGCCCTCTCCAGAGCTAAACTGCAAAACCACAGGCTTCAGCAAAACCCTTGGAGCCAGCCCATCTCCCAGCAGATCCTCTGTCCCTTTCTGTCAACTCAGGGCTGGAAATAATGACAGGTATGGAAAAACCATTACAAGTAACTAAATAGCCCCTCATGCAGTGATGCTGGCTCCATAAGCACTTCCCCAGCTGCTGGGAGACTGTGGGAGCACTCCCTGGAGCAAGTGGACACGGGGCACTGATGTGTCTGGAAACAGCCCAGCAGTGGTGGGGGGCTGAACTTTCTGGTTGTCTGGACCCTCTGTGGCCAGACCTCTCACCAAGCCCTGCAGCCTCTCGGGGGTTTCTGGACAGTCTGCTGTGTGCCCAGGGGAGTCCCACTGTAGGCTCAGTGATCTGAAGGCAGTGGCAGCAGAGCAGGGGGATACCCTGTTTCCTCGAGGCAGAAATGTAATTTTGGGTTTAAAATTGCTTTTTCCTTCCAAAAAGCCCTTAAGCATTTGCCAGGCTGTTAAGAGGCAGGGGGGATCTGGCTGGCTAACCGGCAAGGCCGCAGTGGGATAGAGGGGAAGGGACCAGGCAGTGTCTGTTAGCACTGGCAGCCAGCACGTTAACCATGGGAAGGGAGAGAAGTTGGCTAAGGGCTCCAGCAAAACCCAGTCAAGTGCAGCCCACTAGGGGCTTTTTACTGTTGGTCCACTGGCACCTAAAGCAGCATGTGTTGAAGCAGCATGTGTTCCACTGAAGCTAAGGGCTGTGTCCATACCTGACACTGCATTATTTTTCTCCAGGGGTTCCTGGAGAGCATGGAGCAGGCAGGAACCCGGAGAGGGACAGGTTGTCTTGAAGTTGGACTCTCACTACCGCACTAAGTAAAACCAGAAGGCAAAGGGTCAGTGTTTCTGGTGCACAGGCAAGCTTTGAACTAAGCTAAGCTTTTGCATGCTCCCGTGTCTCTTTCCTTCCCAAAGGATGTTTCTGGTAACACGTTTCTAGGGAAGGAAATCAGCCATCAGTCAGCAGGGTGGCACAAGGAGTTCTGAACTTGATGGTGCTAGATAAAAGCAGAGAGATGCTCCAAGAGGAGCAACTGGACAAGGGGCTTGTTACAGGCATCTCCTTCCAGCACTCCTCACTTCCCTGCAGACTTGAACTCTGCAAAGCAAGCTGGATTGTAGCCACTGGGAGTGAATAGATGTACCTGGTTAGTCTTGTTGCCCATACAGGGAACATATAGGTATAGTGCACATGATGGAGAAGAAACCAACTGCTCATTCTTGTCTTGAAGAGCCTCCTCTTGGAAGCGAAGGACAAGGGTTCACACCACAGCTTGTGTTCCACCAGTAACTTCTGCTCTTGAAATTACATTGTCTCTCTTAATCATGCAAGGCTTATTTTCCCACACTGGAAAATGAATTCATCACCGTTGGCAAAGCTAGGGTATGGGAAGTTTTAATTACTGTTTGTGCAGTGCTTTGGGGCTCTGGAGTGAATGGTGCTGCAGGCCTGGGAAGGATTCTGTTATATATTGGCAGTAACTTTTATTATATATGTGAGCTCTGTGGTCCTGTCAGCAGCTCCGTCCTGATGCCTAGATGCAGTGGGGCTTCCTAACACAAGTAGTACAAATACCCCCCTCTTGTAGCCACTTACTGCTGCTGAACATCACTACATAGTAAGAGATGCACCTACGAAAGAGCAGTGTCCACCTCCAGCCAAAATAAATTCAACAAGTGTGTGCCTGTAAATACCCACCTGCCACACAGGGGAGAAGAACCCTAAAGCTCTCCTCTCATGAGGTTTTTCCCATTAAAGCATCTCTTCCTTAGGCAATGCACCCACATCCTGTATTAACCTTCCTGTCCCCTCCCCCTTGCTCAGAACAACACCTCCTTAATTATAATCCATTAAATTCCTTTCTCCTGTACCTGGAAAAAAAGGGGATTTGGGGACAAGGAACAAATGTGAAGGCGTAAGTCTCTTTTCATGGGAAAGGAAATCTATCCAGCGCCCTGCTGGGAACCCTGCTTTGCCTAAACCCCAGCATAATGCAGTAAGAAGCTAAGGCTCTTAGCGGGTGAGCAGTGCAGTACTGTTAAGCAGTGTCGGGTCTCTGCGGTCAAGCGCTCCATGTTGTACCCAGCGCACCGCGTTTTGCACAGCAGGCAGATTGTGGCCTCTCGGCTCTGGCATCGGCATCCTGCGAGGGCTGGTGTGGGTGCGGGGAGGGCAGGCTGGCCAGCTGCCTCGCGCAGGCTGAAGGCACTGCTTTGGAAAGTGGTGGTGTAGAGAGAGGAGTGCTTCGGTATCGGCAGAGTCCTGGATAAAGAGCGCATGTGGGCAGGTGAAGTAGCACGGTATCTAGGCTTATGATAGAATCCACATGAAAGGCAGTGAGGGAACATGATGACTTGGACCTAAAATACGATTTCTGTATTTTTATCATCACATTTGTTCTTTGGTGGCACGTTTGGTTTTCTGACAGGCACTGCAGAAACATTCAGCTGATTACCACAAGGGCAAAACTGGAGTTACTTACAGTTTGCCAAAGCTGCTGAAAAGCAAAAGCCTCCCCAGTAGATGTGCTGTCCCTCTCTAGCCAGCTGTCACTGCTGATTCCTCCTGAATGGTGGCTCCCTGGGGTGGTGGGCAACCTGTGCCAGGCATAGCAGGCAGGGCAGGATAGTCCAGGCAAGGCCCCGGGGTGAGGGCAAAGCCAGTGGGACAGCACTTCAGTCACCACCCAGTGGGTGACATTGCCAGCACTACTTCCAATGTGTCCCCTTCAGCTTGGAGTGGACAGAAGGCAGGAAGAAGTTAGCTGCACCTCTGTGACCCTGCTGCTGCTCCTCAAGAGGACTTCATTTACTGCCGGGTACATTAATGGCTTCTGCTAGGTGGCTGCTGGGTTGAGATCTGTGGCTTTCTCAGGATGATTGGTTCTAGGTCCCATGGGTTACCACAGCCATTGCACTGAAATCAGGTGAGAACCGTATCAGTCCTTTCAGCAGCACCAGCATGTCAGGGTGGGATGGTGTCAGCCCAGCCCAATACTGGGGCTGAAAGGCACAGGGCTGCTAATGGGCTGATGCACATCACCCCAGTGCTTCTCCACCAACAAGCAAATTTGCAATGGTTTATTCAGTCTGTTCTCTCTCTTTCAGGATATTCTCTGCAGCCTGCCTGACATCCAGCAGTGGCAAAGAACCAAAGCACTGATCCAGGTATTGCCTGCTGCTGGGCTTATTTCACAGGCACACAGGAGCAGTAAAAAGAGTGCTGAGATCACAAACTTCACCTTTAATTTAAACCTCCTTTTTTAGGGATGGAGCCAGAGCTGACCCTGCAAAGGAGAATCCAGCTCCAAGGACTCGAAGGAATCAAACAGACCCTTCAAGACATTTAATGCTGAATGAAGCAGGGAGGGATTTGGCATGAAGCCACAGAACCAATTTTGAGGAAGAAAAGCAGCTTTCCTCCTGCCCGCCACCTCTGTGACCTGAGGGGGAAAGGTTGTCCGTCACCGCCTGTCCCTTCAGGTCAGCACCCGGGGCAAAGACTATTGGGTGTTCAATGGTCTCTTGGGGCACAGTTCTGTTTAGGTTGGCTGCTGCTGACCCAGCCTGTCTTCAGCACATGGGGGCTTTCAACCCCTCAGGCAGGGGTCTGTGTGGCCAGCTGGAGGGGAG